TTTATGTGATGTTTTAGGTATTTATGTTTACACGGACAAAGGTAAGAAGAAGGTAAACGAAGAGTCGACGAAACTTCTTCAGAAGTATCAACTGAAGGCACCAGCAGATTGGTATGTGACTTTATTTCCATAAATACCTGCTCATGAGCCCGCGTTCATGCTTTCCAACTCGGGCGATTTGGGAATTGCGCGACTGTTTCACTACGCTCCATCGCTAGTACTTGGACTACTGCTACTGCTAACCGTCTCAGGGCACTTGTCATCCGGGAATCCTCTCTTCTCTTTCCTTTTTCTTCCTCCTTCCTTCTTTTCCTTCCTCCCTTCTTTGAGCACGGCGCGGCCGGTCGCAGTCGTGCAACCGAATGGCTCGAGCCACGGGTGTAAACGTGGCCTAGCTCCTTATTTTATCTACAATTTCAGCTCTTCGGTAGCAGATCAACAAATACGTCTGGCTTCTCGTTTCGTCAACGAGGCTTTGCTCTGCCTAGAAGAAGGTGTTATCGCCAGCCCGGTGCGTTATCGTACCTAAATAGGGTTCCTGATGTATCCAGGAATCACAAAGAAATGATTTCAGAGTGATGGAGATATTGCGTCGGTATTCGGCGTTGGTTTCCCACCATTCTGGGGTGGACCATTCCGTTTTGTCGATCTGTATGGTGCACAGAAGCTGGTCACTGCCATGGAGAAATTTGGCGCTGCCTATTCTGCCGAGCAGGTGAGTTTTTTGGTTGTTCAGAAGAACCAGAAAAGCGACCTCTCGCTTATTCTTGTGATGATCACTAGGTTGGTTATATAACCAAATTTTTCTGTATTTTCGTTATAGTTTGCTCCATGCCAACTTCTCAAGGATCACGCCAAGAGCGGAAAGAAGTTCTATCAGTAAATTCACTGCATAACAAATTTTAGCGAAATTTTTTGTATGAAAGGATCTGTTGATATGATGATCGTTGTTCTATGCTTCTAATTTGTACGTTGCCACCGAATTGTGTGAGCACTTTATGCATTTAGGGTGTTCTATTAGGGTAGTGTTAAGTTATTAACAGTTTTTCAACAGACTGACTTGTGCTCAAATTAAAGATTTATATGTTTTCATTGTTAGTCAGCTTGTATGACTCGATGTCACTTTGCCAGAATAGTTTGATGACGTGTATGAATATTTATTAGACTGTGAGGTGTATTTTTCCATTTTGAAGGATTACCAGAGTCTTGGTTGCCCTGGACAGTTCGCAGCCGGCTGCTCACGTAAAACCTATGTATTGATCGCAAGAGGAACGCCGTTGACGTTGGCGGCCGCAGTGGGCGCGCGTCACCAACGTGCGCCGCACGCCGCGCAAATCCATCGCTTGTCGCGCGCGGCAAAGCTGTGCGGTTGTCGGTCGTCGCATGGCTTTGTCGCGTAGAGTGAACGGTGTATTCGCGCGGTGCGCGGTCCGTTACGTATTTATGGCATGCGCCTGGCCGTCGACGCCGAAATAGGAGCTAGCATGTGAGCGCCATTACATTCGTAGGGGAGCGACACAGTCTTCCATGTTAGTTCTTAGAAGAGTATAAACTCGGTCACATCAGGATATGTAGGTCAGCTCCCAGCGATGGGGGTCGTATCTGGGAAGTGGAAAGAGGAGAGGGAGTCGCATTTGCCAGTGAGAAAAATGTTTCCGGTTGTTGACGTTTCTCGGTTTTTCCTATTTCAAGTGCGCGATGTATCCTCCTGAATTTATCTCCTGTCCTATGGGGCCAGCTTTTGAGGAGAAGGTGAGGGTAGTGGGACAATTTTTGAGAAAAAAGGAGCCGGCTAGAGGAAGCTGAGAAATTCAGGAAGATAATAGCTAGAATGGGGTGGGGAAGGAGGAATGCATCAAAGGGGAACGTTCGAGCGAAGTCGTATTTGGCGAAAGTCTCAACAAAACGCAGGTTTTGATTTTTGCTCCACAGAGCATATTCAGAACGTTAGGGTGGAAAACAAGTCTTGTCGCGTGCGCGCAA